TATAACATGAATATATATATATATATAAAATAAAAACAGGAACACCTTTCTGCTGCGATACACTGTAATTACAATAATGACGTGCTGAATATCAACCCCCTGATCAAATTCAGTGTTTTATGTACTTCCAGCTACTTATTAAGACACTGAATTTCTTCTATGACTGGAAACAATTACAATTTAACCACAGCACAATTTCTTCCATGGCCAGAGCAGTACAGCATGAGAAAGAAAAAATTTCATTTGCCCCAAAGAATAGGATGTCTTTCTATTTCCCTTTCTTCTACCAGAAACAGGTGGGAGTTCCATATCTATATTACAATCAGGCTTAGCCAGATGAGTATTTACTAACTGGAGCAGTAATAGCAACATGAACATTTGAGGTTTACATAGAAACCTGCATTTTCTATGAAATTTTGATCATTTTAAACTGAAGTGACAGATCACCTTTCTACAGTAAACAGCATCAAGCCTATTTAGATTTTTGCACATAGAGACATCAACAAAAGCATAAAAACCCTGAGTGTTCGAACGGCACGTGTATCTTCTGAACTCCTGATGAACACTGCAACCAAGGACTAACAGCTTGCTGCAAACCTTTATCAGGCTACCAGGGGGGTTAACAAGTCCCTTAGTACAAACGGAGCCCTGCTAGAAGAAGCTTCCTGCAGAACAGCATGATTCACACCAAAGTACCCCATTTCACTGCTCCTGTGCAGCCGGCTCCAATGTCTGGTTTGACATCTCCAAATTTGAAGTACCTGAGCTTCAGGCACCCAAGCCAGGACCACTGTCATCAGACACCCTCTATAATTACTCAAAGTAAGACCAAAACCATGCCCTGTTCATATTAATGGCGGAGAAGTTCATAACTTCAGTATTCCAGCCCACTTAATAAATTTGGCTGTTCCAGAAAGTGTCTCCATGTATACTCATGGTGGGACTAGCTCATGCAGAAAAACAAATGGGGACTCTGGTCGTGTTTGTAGTTCATGTGACGTTGAAAATAAAAATATATTCAACTGGGAAACCCAATGTAATCTACACTGGAATCTAGGCTTGAAATTTTAAAAATTTAATGGGAGAATAGAGGTTAATATTAATGAAGCTAATCTTTATGGAGAAATAGCAGTTTCATTTAAATCACTAAAAATGAATTCACTAAAAACTGAACTATGACCAAAGCTTGATGTCTAAAAGGTACTAGTTTGTCTGCATTAATGATTTTAAAATTGGTTTGGTTTTTTTTTTTTTTGTTTTTGTCTTTTTTTTTTTAAACCACGAACAGTACGTCTTCATAAGGAATCAACTCGTTGGGTCCAGAGCTTTGTACTTCTAAAACAGTTACAGGCGTAATACATATTGATATGTGAAGCACAAAATAACACCAATTTTATATTCAGGATACATGAAAGCATCCACTAAATACTGAAAACAAGTTTTCAGAGTAAATATGCAAACAAAATTTAACAGAAGTTTTGTGTGAGAAGCTCAAGATAGTTCCATAGTTCACTATTTTGAGTTGCATCACTCACTTATGTTATTTGTACAACTATAATTTTTAAAAAATAACCTTTCTGTCTTGTTTGTGTGACATTTTAAACCTAATAACCTTTAAAAAAAAAAGTGAATAAACATGATTTGCAGTATCTTTATAATGCAAAGTTTTGCACACACAAAAAAAAAATCAGAAACCCCCATATCAACACTGTATTATCTTTCAGTCTAGAACAGAAATACAGCAGGGTGATGAACAATAATATCAAGAAGATCATACCAAAAAAGCAGCGAGACTTCTTGGGGGAGAATCCCATTCAAAGCAACTGCTAATGTAGCAGGCGGCATTTATGAGCACCATGACACAACGCTTCATCCGGATGAAGTTTCTTAACAGTAGCTGTGAAAAGGTGAAAGGATGAAAATGTTTCAAAACACCAAAAGCTTCAATTTTGTCATTCTTAATTTGGGTGACGACTAAGAAAATTACGTGTTAAGCTGTCTAGATCACAAATTGAGAAAGATATTTTAAAATTTGAGAGACCTGGAAGAGAGAGAATTTTAGTTAGCTGTGTCAAATGATTTTTGCTGAATTTAATTCTAAATGGTATACAAATTATTGCTTTAATTTCCACAACTGTAGACCAATTTGCAAAATTTGACAAATTATTTTGTTATGATTTCAGAGTTCTACTAAGTAAGCAAGGCCTTCCCCATTCTCAAGTATTTAGAAAATTCTGGCCTTTCTTAATAAAACTGTCTTGTGCGAAACTAACCTGAAATCATGCAAAATTACTGCTCTAATTTAATTAAGATCATCTACACCCATTACACCCAATTTTTCCTTCAGTTTTAACAAATTTGTCTGCTGTGATGTATTTTGACCATGGCATGTTTTTAAGTATTTATCAAAGTAACTTTAACTGCATACATTAACCCATATAGAGACGAAACATAACAGCACTGGGCTTTGATTTGGGAGAATATCCTTAAATCTTTCAAAATGGCAATACACTTGACCAAAAAGTGAACAAATCATCAAATTACTTAATTTGTGCATGGAATAGCATAGAAAATGTTAGGTAGGCAAGACACCTTTACTCTCAGAAAATGTGGATGCCTTAAAATGCAACTGCATCAGTCATACATAAAGATTCTTTTTTTCCCTGTAAGTGGTATTGTGCTGGGGTACCCCATGCCAGCTAATTTTAAAGAAAACAACCCAAAGTGGGTATTTAAATTTTACTCCTCCCGCCATCCGCAAAATGCACAATGCCATTTTCTCTTATGACAGTGGGGAGAAGAATGAATCTTGAATAAAAGGCCTTGATGCTTCTTTGCTGGAACAGCAGTACAAAATGCAGCTTTAGTTTAGCATTGCTCACAACAGTAAAGAAAGAAGCAATCTGCCTCTTGAAATATTTTTTAATGAAATGCGTCATACAAATGATATAAAATTCATCCAGGAGGTGATTTAAATTACGGTCTAGTCTATATCTTTCTGTAAAATAAAAACCAGTTTTGAGATCTCTGCCTTTACCCTGCAAACAACAAAAATCTTGTTCCCCATAGTCCAACCTAAAACTCAGTCTCTCCATACAAAATCCATCATTTTTGGAAATGCAAAACTGAACCAGAAGTAGTTCAGAAAAAGCTGTGTGCTTAAATATTTTTTACCAAAACACCAAAACTGTGAGTGGCAGAAATATCCAGAGAAAAAAGAACAAGGGTGCAGGCATTTCCTACCTAGAGGACTGTCGAAAGTTAGTCTGCTTTGGCCTTTGATTTGAACCTTTCTCAACTGACTTATTTAAAATCTAGTGAAAAGAATGCTGAAAGACCCTCTGCTCTGCAACAAATGGAGATCTTCTGGGTCAAGGTTACCGGCAAAAAATTTATGCAAGACTTAGTTTACACGCACCTGTGCTATAATCTGATATGTGTGGAACGTGATGGTTTCAACTGTGTTCTTATTGACGTATTTCATGGAAATTAAGCTGCAATTTATAGAGGAGACAAAATAAACCCATGTATTTTGTTTCTGCCTTTCCTGACCTATCATATTCTTTTGTAAACAAGGAATGAAAATGTTATTCTTTACCCTCAGCAGCACGATACCAGATATTTGGATGTACACACTCGATATTAAGGCTTCCGGAAAGGATTAGTGTTTCCTTACGCTTTTACCTGCTTAGACAGTCTGTTTTCCTCTTCTATGTACTTCTCTTCTTTGGGCATTAAGGTTCGTATGCTGGCTTTCACCTATGTATTAAAATGTCGTGTCAATATTTCAACCTCACCCACTCCTTTACCAATAACGCATGCTTCAATTTGCAAAAATCACGAAGTTTTCAAAGTCGCGGCTGCTACGCATGGTGAGGCAGGAGTAGCTGCTCCTCACATAAGCGGCAATAGCACCGGCAGCAGCAACAAAAAGAGTGGGTGTGCCAGGCAGTGGCAGAAGAGTATTCTGTGGTATACATCAAGGTTTAGAGAAAATGAGGAATGACAGAAACTCTCTACAAATCGGGAACAAAAGCTTTCATGAAACTGAACTCTTTAGCGGTACAAAAAAGCCAAAGTTAAGACTTACGGCATTAAAAATCACATCTATTTCAAGATAGATGACCCCCTTTGTTGGCCCTGTCAGCTGCTTGTTTTTCAAGACGTAGGCTTTCTGTTCACCATTTTGAATCTGCAGGAAAAGGACATGACAGCCGTCTGTCTCGTGGTCTCTGCTGAATACACCCCCCTGGTGACCCCTGACCCCCAGCTGCTGAAACTGACAGAGAACCCAAAACAACTGTGGCAAGTCTGACAAGTACCTGTTCATTACCAGGACCAAGTCTGTCAGGAAAAATTAACTATCATGGGATTCAACATGGCCGTGAATTGAGTATGTTAAAATCTTAGTGTTCTTATTACAGACCTTGGTTGAGAAATGACAGACACAGAGCTGCAAATTTTTTTTTTTCTTTTTTTTCCTTCTTTTCCTTCCTCCCCTTAAAAATAGAGAGCGGCATGTCAGGTGAATGAAACTTACAGACAGCAATGGTATAGCGACTTTGCCTAGAAAGTCAGCGCTACGATCACGGTCCTCGTCATAAACTGTCACTTCAAGCACCGAGTGGATGTCTTTAATATTGCTACAATGAGAAGCACACACAGAAGAGAGAAGTCACCTACACCAGCGGGTACCAAGGAAAAAGCATGAAAGGTCAGCAAAAAACAGACAGATGTCGATTTTTCCAGAGAGAACAGAACTTAAGCAGATCAGGCATCCCTCCCTATAACCAAAATCCTTTCTAAGGGCTGCAGTGATCGTGCTTGCTCTCTCTGCAAGGCTTTCCCAGCAGAAGCTTTCTGAAGGATGTTGCTTTAAATCTCCTACCTGGGGTTTGCACTACAAGGAGAGCCAGTGCGGAGCAGCGCCAGGGGATTTACAGCTGCAAGCTGCAGGACCGAGAGCTTTTAAAGGATATACCTTAAAGGCTGCTATCCTGGCAGCAATTACTGCTGCAAATACTGCGAAATCTGTCGGTTTGTACACAGAAATAATCACCAGCGACACAAGCACATCCTTGTGCTGAGAACCAGCTCCTAAATTCTAAAATCTCAGCTTAATTACAAGTATACGACAGTCATTACAACAAATTAGGAGCAAGCAATACAAAACGATGCATTTTTCAGCTATTACAGTTTTTTGCCTGTGATCTATTAAACACCCCACCACCACGGACAACAAATGTCACTGTACATGGTAAACTCTGAAGTGCAAAATTCACATTCTGTATTCAGAGAAAAAAAAACAGAACTGTTTGAGAGAACTCATCTTTGATCAAATGTCTGACCCAGGAAATATGAATTCAAGCAAAGCAGCTTAACTCCAGTAAAATATATGCCTCCAGATGAAACTGGATTGCTAGCACAAAATTAATTAATAAATTGGTCAATGCAAATACACATAGAAGAGAGGTGAAAACTCTCCTTGAAGGCCATTTGATTTTTTTTCTGTTTGATTTCTGATTAGTCTTTTGTCCTCTACAAAACCAGGCAATTTTTTATGGAGACAACACCATTGAGCAGCAGAGGTTGATTAGTTACTGGCTCTATTAGTAGATAATTAAAAATAAATCAATGAAGAATTCAGAGTGGTTTTGCAGATACATAAATGAGAACTACATTAATAAGACAATCAGAAGTATAATTGTTGTAAGATTTTTTTTTCTCTTATTCTGAGTTCATTCCTGAGAGCTCACTGCAGGGTAAGAAAAGATATGGATGCTAAATACATGAGCGACCAACTAAGAGGAATGGAAAAAAAAAAAAAAAAAGAAAGTTAAAATCAGACTGTGTTTTGAGGTCATGGGCAAAATACATAATTTCCATTTATGACAAAGTGAAGTAAGTGTACACAAAACTAAAGCTCCCGCTGGTGTTGCAGTGGATTGTTAGCTGATTCCAGCAGCAGAGAAACCTGCAGCTGATCAGTGTCCTACTCATTGGTGTAACACTGCAGTGTTACAGAAGGCAGAAAAAGAAGGCAACCAAGCAAGACAAATAACAGGAACATTTTGTTTGTGGAAGACTTTTTGCTGTTTTGTCAGAACTTTTTACTGTCTTCAGAATAACATAGGGATAAAAAAACCCAACCACATCACTTCCCAATAAACTCAATGTTTAAGGCTGCATTTTACTCAACAGCTGCATGGTACTGTCACGATACGCAACAGTATTGTGAGAAGTGCTGCTGATAAATGGAAAGAACAAGTGGAAAGTACAAGGGCCACAATTCAGAGAAGTATGAATGCATTTAAAATTCCTTCCTTTATACAGTTATCTAATGTTCACTGAAGTTAACAACCACATGTCAATGAAAGTCATAATGACAATATCCTTTTTTTTTCCACCCAAAACTTCAGGGCCAAATCTGTTGTGATGGACTTGGCCCTTGAAACTCTCACTGAAGCTAGCAGAGTCTGCTCAGCATTACTCATTCCTGGTTTCCAAGAAACAGACCTTGCTTTTTTACCTGTAAAATGGTGCCTCTTCCCTGATTTTCATCATGCTTTTATTCCTCAAAAATGTATTAATTGGTTCAGTTTAGAAATACCAATATGTCATCACGATCTTTCTTCTGAATCAACAGCTGGTATCTTTGATTCACACCTACACCCCCTTCAAAACAACCCCCTCAAAAAAAGAAAACAAACCAAACCCACCCTCCCCACCACTCACAAGATCCAAACACCTACAATGTGAAGATTTTGTTCCATTCTGGATTGAGGTTCTTGTAGATGGTATGTGTCAGCAGTCTGTCATTGTTCAACTCAACTACACAAAATGGGTCACTTTTACCTACAAGAGAAGATTTGTGACAAAATTTGTGAGATAAGGAAGTCCACCATGAGCAAGGTTCAAACAAAAATTAGTTGATGGTTTGTTTTTTTCTTTTTTTTTTCTTTTCCTAAGTTGTACTGTAATTCTCTCACGAATTAATTCAGGGAAGTCCTATGGTCTGCATTATACCCGAGATGATCATAACAGGCTGTTCCGCTCCATAATCTATTAACATTCTTCACTAAAAGAACTTTTTTGCTTTTTTGGTTGTTTTTTTTTTTTTTAAATAGGAAAGAAATGAAAAAAAAAATCACCATACAGACTTTTCTGATGAAAAAACAGCATGTTTCACAAAGGTGCCAAGCACCCTTCTGAGACAGCTACAAGAACTTTAGCCAATCCTACACTGACTGTAATGATAACATAATTAGAGCATTTTGATATCTAGGAAATGTATTATTCCATATTATTTGTAATAACATAGCACCTATGATACTTAGCCAAAGATTAATATGCCCTACATGTTTCACGCTGTACAAATCCTCTCCCCAAAATCAACAAAGCTTTAAAGACAGTCTCAGATAAAAGCCTAATGCCAGAGAAAACGGGCAAGTACAATTAAACAATGAGACGATATCAGCTGGAATGATGGGCTGTAGTCTCAGCACAGCAGAAGCTCGAACGCGGTTGAGATTTTTGTATACATTAAAGCACAATGAAGTAGCTTTGCATATATTTACAAGAAGGTCCCTCAGCATGAAAGCCACCACAGGAGAAAGTATGAAGATGTTGCTTTGAAAATGTAATATATAGATAATGGAAGCAGTATCCTAGACTGGGTATAGAAGTTGATTTTTTTTTTTTTTTAAAAAGTCTGAAGAAAGAGAATTGGGAAAGGTAGTGTGTGGGGGTTGCCCCTGAATGTGAAATAAGCAGCTTATAGCTAATGACTGCAGGTGAGCAGTGCTTGTTATTGCTCAGATACCCAACAAAACCCAAGAAAAATCATCCTGAAAGTTTAAGGGGAAGACATGAACCTTATACTAAGCTTTCTCTTAGATATCCACGAGACCAAGGTTTGTATTTGGAAAGGAGAATGAAGGTAGACACCTGAATCTTGTGCTTAACAACAGCTTGGTTGTGTGAAAAAGCAGCTCTCTGAAGAGGAATGAAGCAGAAGAAGGGAAGATTGATCTCTCTGGGGTTTCAGGGCAACCCTGAAATTTCCTGGAAGGGTAAGAAGGTGTTGCAAGGAAGATCGGAGGAACAGCGATGACAGAAGGAACAGTAAAACATGAGGAGCATGGTGAGAAGACAGTTGCAATAAAGAGGCAATAAAGGGAACAAGTAAGAGTGTGGAGTAAATAATTTAACTCATATTTCAAATTATGACAGTAATGACAACTCCTATAAACGCTGGCCAACACAGGGAGATGCTATCCCTTCCTGCTTATCTTGCTTTCCCCCAGTAAGTGAAGAGAACAACCTTTCCTTTGTCGCAGAACACAGGTATATGCTTTATTTCCATGTAAGGCTAGAAATATGTAAGTAGAAAGCTGTAGAATAAATCGCTGTTCCCAAAACCCGAGGGAACTTTGTCTGATGGAAATTAACAACTGAGTTGCATACTACAGAGCGGCTCACTCTTTTCTCTGGACTTTCTTTGGCCAACAAAGTGTTTGGAAGTTACTGAGCATTGACATTGGCCTCCCACAACCAAATCTAGCACACTAAGCAACTGTATTTCACAATGTCTTCAATAATTCCGTAACACTTTGTCATGCAATATAAGAAGCCATAAATTGAGTACCTCAATGGGGCTACATTAATGATATTAGGGAGGCATGCAATTTGTTTCATACCTTATACAATGACAATGAAATCAATATTTAGACAAAGCTGTCCAGGGGTCACATCTCCCAAACTGCAGTATTGATTCGGACTACATCAGAGGTTAATGTGCATATTATTAACTTTAATGATAAATAATAATTGTTTAAAACACATTGTGAATTATAGTTAGAGTAGATGTTTACCTTCTCTAGAAGGCAATATACTGCTGAAACTTTCCCATTAAACTTGAAAAATGATTAATTCATTAGTCAGCAGAGACAGATATATCACCCATCTCAATGTTTTCCTACTTCAAAATTCTAAAAGGTGGTAGGAAGCTTAAACATATTTAGGTTCTTTAGGTTTTGGTATTTGAAAGAGAAACACCCAGAAGATAGTTAAAACAAGGCAGAACTGACAAAGCAGGTGAGCTAGATGATATTAGTTTATCTCCTTTTTTAAAGTATCATCAACCATATTTGCATACGATGGTACAATATGATTTGTGCTTATTAATCATACACAGACAAAGGAAAATGTACTGCAGTGTCTAGTGGCCACCTTTTGTAAACAAAGAGAAAGTATTTACTACATTCATTTATTTTCTGCATCTGTTGACATGCACTTTTTCAATGGCTTGCCTTATAGATTTATATGGGTATAAATCCACTTAAGAAAGCTAAATAATATGTAACATCAATCAGAGGTCCTCGATCAAACCGAAGACAGTTTTCAGAAATAAAAAAAAATCCGTTCTTGCATTCAACATTTCATGTCTCCTACCCCCTATAACTTGAAAACAGTTCAAGACCAAATATGACAAAAGGAAATACAGTGAAATGGTACAAGGGAAAGCCCAAGTACCATGGCTGACAAATAGAAGTTTTCCAGCTATAAACTTCTCTACTAAGGACTACTGTTTTTGCCATGGAGGCTAAAATGTTCCCATACACAAAGCCCTTCACCAACACCTGCGGGCACTTCTTCCGTGGGCTAAAACACCCATACCCAAGCTGGGTATCTGAAGGGCAAAACTCTTCGCTGGTGTGCCAAATATATGGTATGTGCAAACGTTATTTGGATACCAACCCAAATAAGCGAACATGATCCAGACAGACAAAGAGCAATGTACAAGTACTTTGTGAAGCTCATATCCTGCTGTCATCCTTCAAGTTCTCATTATTAGAAAGAATAAATGCAATCTCAACTCTCAATGACAGCCACAGCAACCTGCTGCACTGCAAGAGTGTTCAAAACAATGGGATCAATCCCAATGAAAGCCTTAAGAGAGCACTAAAACATTAAGGAATATCATCCTTAGGTCTCCTTGGTCTCTAGGTGGACCACAGAAATCCAGAAACTTACGATGAATATTCATCACTACTTTATTCAAAACCAGTACCTTAAGCACAACAAATACTCTAACCAAGGCAGCCTCAGACAACTTCTGTCCAGTTAATGTAATTAGCAGTTTCAAACAAGAGATTCATAAATGGTTTTCCTAATTTTTACATAAAGAACAACTCGTTCAAAAAAGTATGTGCTGTCCATCTAGCCATTCTGGAAGTACATCTATAAACCTCCGACCAGACTTGTGCTGCCTAAGCTCAATTACATCACTCTGTACTATGCTGCCATCGCAACTATGCCTTTCACTGGAGACTAAACCACAATTGTCACATATCAAGAAATTCTTCCCAAATCCCTGTATCTACTGAGGATCTTCCAACACTTACGATTTTGAGTAATTCCACGTCCTCAGTGGGACTAATCACTATTACACCTACCAGTGTTTGAAGGAATTTGTGACACAAGTAGGTAGTAAAATCAGTGGAGTACACCTTTCAACTCACCGAAACCAGACCTGCAGTAAACCTCAATAAGAAGTAAAACAAATCTCATTAATCTGTTCTGTTGCCGTAATGTCTCACGCTTTTTGGACTCTACCTACACAGTCCTAAGGGCTCCTGAAATGACAGAAATAAAGTGCTAATTTACATAATATGCATAATAATCTGGAAGAGAAAGCATCTATTGATGGATCTCCCTCACCCTTCTTTCCCCTTTACCCATTACAGACCTGGACTATCTAAGAACGTCCCCTAGAAGGAATTCTACTTTGTAACGTAAGCTCCCACTTAAAAAATTAGAGAACTACTTATCTTTCGAAGCTTCTCATTTTATTCACCATGTCACACATAGCACCTAGTTTGACAGATGTTTGTTTGTGCTGTGCTGTATCACATTTAATCCTTAGACAGTCAGCAAGACCAGAGCACAAACTGAGATAACTTTACTTAGTTCTAAGGATTCTACTTCAATCACTGTGTCCCTCACGTTGCACACTATACACACATTAATTAAAACATTAGTCTTCTAATTGTCACCTCACCTCTCGGAACAACTGCATGCCCCTGAATGACCTGTACACCCATCAACTCAAAGCAGCTCAGATCTAAAACAGCGCTTAAGCCGCAAGAGAGGCTAACAAGTAACTGGAGAGGTCTTATTTGTTATTTGTTACTTGCTTCAAAACTCAAAGTCCTTCACAAAAGAAAGAAAGTTAGCTCAGAGCCTGGATTCATTAGCTGGGGCTCAGAAGCCTGGCCACTGGAAAAACTTTTGTCTCCTGCAAGTATATAAAATACACTCTTTAATCATAGAAGAGACCTAAATAGTGACAATTCTTAATTGCTTCTCAAAATATTTAGAAAATCAAAACCAACAAAACCTAAACTTCCACACAAATCTATCTTCTGAATTTTCTTCTTAAGCAGCTACAGCACCACATCGCCTAATGGTTTTGCTGTGTTCTTCACTTGGAAAAGTTTGGGAAAGGCCCTTTTCATCAGTTCAAAGACCACAGGACTTTCAATCCTAACCATTCTGTGATTCTGTGATTCCTAGATCAGCTGGCTCTATACGCTGGAACTCATCAGCAAGAACCAAAGACTTTCGTTGGCTTGTGAACCCTTGGGAACTGATGTTCTAGGGCTGGTGGGCCTTCTCTGAGGCTGGAGGTGAGCTGGACTCTGTCCAGTCTAGTGGATGCGTCCCTCAGTGGTCCCTGAAAGGCGAAGTTGTCCAATAAAAATTTTTCATTCTTAGTAGGTTGTTCTCCTGGAAAAAATTAATTTTGGAGCACTGCAATTCTTCCAAACAGGGACCTCAGTTGAACATAATTG